CTCTGGCCCTCGCCAGGCCCAGAGTCGCTGCTTCCTTCTCCCCCCCAACTGTCCCCGTAGCTTCTCTGGGCCTCGCCAGGCCCAGAGGTGCCGCTTCCTTCCCCCCCCCAACTGTCCCTGCCGGCCCCCGCCCCACTTCGCCAACACGCCCGGGAAGCCGGACAGATGGGGGAAGCTTTCTTAGGGCCCCCCACGCCGCTTCTCTTGGCCATATTCTGATATGACTGAGAGTGCAGAAAGAGACAATTTATAGGAACCATTGACTACTTTTTGCAAAGTAAGAGGTATTGCTCCAGAGAAAGATCCTTCCTCTGTTGGATTTCTTTCTTCAGAGGAAGATTTTTCACTTAGACAAAGGAAGTCATAAGATCCAAGTTCTTATATCTGGTTACACTTGTATTTAGAAATTTTATGCTAGCATTTAGGAATCTAATCTATTCTGGTCTGTGTTGGACTTGGGCTGCGATCACATGCACAATTAGACCCGACATAGGTGCGAATGCTGGGCAGATTTAAAGGGTGCAATCAGAAAACAACATCTGGGAAGTGCCCCACAACCATCAGCAACCCGTTCTGCTCTGCCACAGAAGCGGAGTTAAAAGACACCGGGGAAAACCCGGTAGTAAATGGGTTGCAACGGGCCACAGACAGACTTTCCTGTGTCTGATTGCTCCAACGGGCTCTCATGGCATTGGGATGGTCTGATCAGGCCATCCCGAATCTGTGCTGTTGTTCCCCCCACTTGCAGTATGCGCATCATCGCAAACTCCACAGGGAGCCCTTGGTGCGGAGGTGCAATTTATAGATCCCTCATTTAAGCGCATGTGGGGAAAAGGCACAAATCTCACCCACACCCACAAAACTCACCCACACCCAACTCACCCACAGTTGCGTCTGATTACACACTGACGGACTGCCCCTACAGCTTCAAAAGGAGGTGTGATCATGCGCAACTGTAGGTCAAATTCCTCCAGAAGAAATAGCCTCGCTTCCCTCCGTTTTTTCTGGCACGTGTGACCACAACCTTGGCCTTTAAAAAAATATTGATGAATTGAGGGATTTATGTAGTACTGGAACATATTTTATGGAATAAATTATACAAGGGGAAAAGCATATGTTGTAAGAGATTGCAATGTGGATTAAATCAAAAGATACATCAAAAGCAAACAAAGCCACATCTGATACTTAGATTAGTACCCAGAATATGTTTCAGTAACTGCTTGCTTGCTCTCATCACAGTATTACACTGGTCATTTAGCCACAATCCACTGGCTACGAGGATGTTTATAGAAATGCTGATGCAGAAAGGTTTATTTAAAGTGCTCCATTTTCACTTTGGCCATTTATTATTCATAACATTAACTTTTCTATCTATTGCAAGCTTTCAGTGTGACAGGATGCTAAATAATAAAATGCGTTAACAGTAGACATTAACTATGCTGGCTAAATGGAATTGCTATGAATTTATAGATAGTGTGCCATTAGTGACGCTTTGTAGCATTTGAGTTACAATGGTAGTCCCATTATTCGTCACACAAGTTGTCTTTTTGACCCTCATGTACCATATTACAGGCCTCCACAGCTTACAATATACCTAACTGAACACAGCATACCACTGATATATTGTGGTGTTTGACAGTCCCTGTTTCTGCAACCCTAGGGAATGTCAACAAAAGACTTAGTGATCTGGTAAACCTAGTGGTTCAGCTCCATTTTGTTTGGTTGGTTGCCTGGTTGTGAAGGCCCATTCCCAGATGACTAGCATACAAAAATGGTGCTGTGAAGACTGAGAAAGAACATAACACATCTAGATACCTGAAATAAACTCTAATAGAGTAAAAGTGCTGTTAATGAGAATTGGGGGTGCCAGTTATGCCAGCTAACTAAGGTTTTACACAATTGCAGTCCAGTGATTTGGGTGTCTCCTGGCTGAGTCGCTTGGATGGCTCTCTTTTGAGTCAATCAGCTAGTGCCTGCCAAAGTCACTCCACTGACTTGCAGCTGAGAAACCACCAGGAGAAGTGATATGCTTTGATTTACCTCTCTTCCATCATTTTTCTTAGTAGAGGCATCAAAGACACACCAAGACAGAATGGTGCAAGTCAAGGTCAACCCATCACTGAGAAAATCTGGGGGTGTCAAAGTGGGATCCCACAATAGCACAGTGCAATTTTAGTCTTGTTTCTTGAGAGAAATATTTTGTGGGGGGAAAAATTGAAACATGTTCATGGTGCTGTCTTCAAATGGGCTTTTCATAATCTCACTGCATAAGTGATTTTGCTATATATTGCATTTTTCATGGTGCAAAACAAATAGACATGTTTAATTTATTTTCTGAATATTGATTGGACTGCTTTCTATTTTATACAAAATACAATTCTTCCATATCAAGATTCATTTCATTTCTCAGCTCTTTTTTTTAAAAAAAAGATTCATGCACAGCATATGCATATAGAGATTCACAAATATATATAACAGATTTACAGTGCAGTCCTATGCATATTTACTCAGAAGTAAGTCCCATTTTATTTAGTAGTTCTTACTCCAAGGTAAGTATTCTTAGGACTATACCACTGGTGATTTTTTAGCCCCCGTATATTCCACTGTAGGAATCTTCTCACTCCTGAAATCATATAAAGCCAGAAAAACTTTATGCCAATGGCTATCTAATGTAATTTTCCCTTCACTAATTTTTGGTTCTGAGTAGCAGCTACATAGCCAACATTTATCACTTCTGCTGCTCTGCTCTGTCCATTTTTACATTTTTAAAGAATCAGCAACTGAATATCATTATATCAATATGATGTTATTACAATCTGGGTAACATGTTCCCTGAATCCCCAGCTTTCTTTTTTTTAAAAAAGTAAGTTGCTAGGCCCTTTTATTGTGTGTAATTTACTTCATTTTATCCTGCCCTTCTTCTAAGGAGCTCAGGGCAGCTTTTATCCTCACAAAAAAACCGTGAGGTAGGCTAAGCTGAAAGCGTATAAATTGTCCAAGGTGAGCTTTGACACCAGTGGAGATTTGAACCCAGTTCTTCCATATGCTAGTCTAGCAGTCTTAACCACTTAACCAGCTGTTGCGACAAGAAGTAAAACTAATACCTTCAGTACATAAAGCATTTGCTATGTGTCTAAGCCATATCCTCTCTTCTAAAAGAGTCCTCTGTGATTCTTTTGATTTTCCTACACAGGGGGAAAAGGCTAGCCAGCAAAATGATTAATACATACCATTATCAAAATATCTGACAGTTGAATTTCTTGAAACACTAGGGTCAAAGTTGGCCATCAAGGGAGCGATGTATTGTGTAGCTGTTAGCATTCGATGCACAACTTCTCCTGTATATATAAAGCCTAGAATAAAGAAACGAAATAGCAAAATCATGTCAGCAACAGCTGAAAAGTTAATACATGCCAGAGTTAATTAGGTGCTGCCTGAGCTTCAAAGAATTCTTGAAGGAAAAATTAATCTCATCACCAGGTTTTAATAATGAATCACAGAACGGTAAAAGAATACAGAAAGAAACATCATAAAGGGCAACAGAAGAATGGCTTCTTGAGATAAACAAATGAAAGGGGCCATGTTGGGGAAATGGTTAAGGGCAATGGGTCTTATCCTGAGATCTTCAGACTGTTTTTACTTGACTGGAGAGAACACAAAGTCTGCAAGGAGTTGGAAAAATCATGATGTGGAAGAAAAATGAAGGGATTTCCTGGTTCACAGTAGTCAGATCGCCATTATTTTTATATTTAATTATGAATCTGGAACCAAAGTACAAATCAAAAAAATGTGTCCCATATACAAAAGGGAGAGTTGTTTTTACAAATCTGGACTAAGGTTCCCAGACAGGGCCTGGCAACTAGTGGGAGCCCTCGCCGGTGACAGAATGATGTCACCAGGGATGCACAGATCTCATTCTTTGTGAACCTGGAAGTAATGTCAGCCTGTTTCCACAGGATGCCAGGGATGCCCGACATTAGGGCAAAACACTATAGCGACATGCTGACATCACTTCTGGGCACATGGGGAGTGATGTCAGCACATCAGAATGCTGCCACCCCCCATTTCTCACCATCCCCCCCCCCGCCAGCCATATAAGCAGCAGTAGGAAATCACCCACTGGCAGTGGGGGATCCCTAACCTAGCAGAATGGCAAACCCAATCTGGGGGAGTCCCCATGCTTGCAACCCCCCTCCGCAATTAAAAAAAGAAAGGATAAAATAAAACAAAAAAGTTTTTAAATGCCAATACTTCACAAAATTACCTCATGTGAGGCCTAGAGAGCCATTTGGGATTTCCTAGGAAATCCAAAATGGCTGCTGCTCAGGTGAATTAGAAGGGAGAGAAGGAAGGGGCAGGTAGGAAAAGAACTGAAGCAAAGCAAAACAAAGAGAATTGGAGGGAAGGACTAGAAGGAAAATGGCAGATGTGGGGGGACTGAGATAGGTCGAAGGGAAGAGAGAAGCAGGGATGGGGAGAAGCTGCAGAAGCTATGAGGGGAGAGGAAGGCTGAGATATCATAGAGGATTGACCAGCCAGGGAGATGAGACTCCCCCCCCCCAGTTTCTTGCTTGTAACATACTAATTCTGTACAATCTGTTTTACTGATTTTCATGCATCTAGCACAGGTTGTCAATTGTTCCAAAATAACACTCACAGAGTCTGGATTTGCCATTATCTGTTTACTGAATTTTAATAGAGAACCCAGACATCACTGTTGTCGATCCATTGCATTCTAGTGTTTTTTGTGGCAGTTCTGTCTTTTTATAGACTTTATTTGGGATTAATTTTTAAATTTTCAAGACCCGGGTGCCGCAAGACGGAGTGAGCTCCCGTCTCTAGTTCCAGCTCCTGCCAACCTAGCAGTTCGAAAGCAAGAAATTGCAAGTAGATAAATAGGTACCACTTTGGTGGGAAGGTAACAGCGTTCCGTGCGCCTTTGTGTTTAGTCATGCCGGCCACATGACCACGGAAATGTCTTTGGACAGCGCTGGCTCTTCGGCTTTGAAACGGAGATGAGCACCGCAACCCTAGAGTCGGATTCGACTGGCTTTCGAGCAAGGGAACCTTTACCTTTACCTAATTTTTAAACAACGTTCAGTTTCAGCACCAGCCTGTCCTGTATAGATGTCAAATGCTGTGCATTTAATTTTTGTCCTTTTTTTCTCCTTCCAGATTGTTTCCTGCATATCTTGTGGTTATCACGTTAATGTTTGGCATTCATTAATCAGTTGGAGGGACGGAATTTATGTACTACCACTTTGTAAACAGCCCAAGTTAATTTATTTGATATTTTTTTCATATTCATACAATTACAATAATACAGAACGGCATTTAAAAATGAACAGTGACTCTGGATGGCAACAAAGTAAAAAGCAATATTTATCCTCCTTTCTCAAAGAACAAAACCTGATAATCAACCTTTCATTCATGAGAACCCAAAACTAATGGCCATGCCAAGAGACAATGTAAATTATTTATTTATTTGTTTGCATCTTGCCTTTCTCCCCAAAAGGACCCAAACCAGCTTACATCGTTCTCCTCTTCTCCATTTTATCCTTACAACAACACTGTCAAGCAGTTTAGTCTGAGAGTGTGTGACTGGCCCAAGGTCACCCAGCAAGCTTTCATGGCAGAGTGGGGATTCCAACCCCGAGTTTCTCAGATTCTAGCCTGACACTTTAACCACTACAACACACTGTAAAGTAATCAATTAATCTAAAGACATAGGAACAAAAAGGGGAAGAGGACTTACTTCTGGGTAGAACTATAGCATTCTGCCCATTGCGACCAATTTGGTTGGGAAATACAGTGCTATATAATATGCCATGGAATCTATAGTATCTTCGGAGATATGGTGGATAGCTTACACTTACTATTTTAATTCTGCTTGCAACTTAATGAGGAAAACAGAATCCACAAAAGTACAGTATGGAGCTACCAACAAAAACATTTGCCCTTTTCTACTTCAGCTTATATAATCACATCCCTGAACTGTATCAAAAGGGACACACAAAATTTCTGTTAAGTGATTTTATGCACTTGCTTTCAAATGTTCGCTATTTTATATAAAGCAACATAGTCATATCTAATAAAGGTTGTGGCCAGCTAACCAGGTAGAAGGACATTTGTAAGTAACATTAATGAAAGCTTACTCAATAAAATTTTGTATTGTGGACTGCCATCTTGACTCAGCAATTCAAAAATCAGAAAAAACACCCCAGAGAGTGAGGAGATGGATAACTACAGACCAGCTAGCATTTATAGGGGTCAAATGGTCATGCTTCAGTACAGCTTGGAATGAAACACAGGATGAGTTCAAAGCATCCACAGATTCAAAGCCTGAATGAATGCCTGTTGAATTGGATATTTTATCATTTACACTAATACCACAAGTTCTAAATGTAAACCAAGAATATTCCAGAATAGGTTTCCAGAGCAATTTAGCAAGTATCACTTAGTCTCTCTCACGGCTGCAATTGCTCTCTGTTGATTCACTGTGGCCCAGGGAGAATGTTCTAAACCTTCACACGGGGGGGCTATTTAGGCTCCGGTCACACGGGCAGGAAACTGCGGGGGGGGAGCGTGGCTGTTTGCCCCGGGGCCAACTAACGCGCGGTTAAGGGATCAGACCTCTCCTGGAGGTTCCGTGGAGGGTCTGTGGGAAGGGAGAGGTGCTGATCACAAGACGATCCTGCGCGCAACAAAGAAGTGCGCGGTGCGGCAAATGGGTGGGTTTTTTTTGTCGTGTACACCATAAATGCGCATGCTCCGTTGGGTGCTTGTGCGCATCCACGGAGACTTGGGAAAAAAGCACCTTGTTTGCAAGGGGACATGGGCGGGCGCCGGATGCCACCGAAAACACGATCAGACGCCCGCCCTTGCCCCGCAGTTTCTGGAAACTAGTACCTCCGAGGTACTAGTTTTTAGCAGCACGGTTTCGGCGGGAAGCCTCGGTTGAGCCACGGAAGCACTACGCTTCCCAGATGTGCCGGTGAGATCGCGCCCGGAAACTCCGCCTGACTTCCGTCTCTCTAGCGTGGCTAATGTTCCATGTGACCGCAGCCTAAGTCTTTCTTTAGTGGGAGAAATCTGGAACTTGTGGAAAGGCTTTAGAGCCTGGGACATAAGCCACCCTTCTAGACAGATGGAATAAATTAATATTATGGAAGGTTATTAAAGAGGATTTTAAAAAGTAGAATATACAATTTTATTTATTTTTAAATGATAAGACCAAGGAAGAAACAACTAAGCAAATTAGAAATGGATTATGGAAGACTTTGCTACTGGTACAAGTCTATTTAGCACAGAACTATTATTTGTCTCTGCAATAAAAAAAGCATAGAATATAATGTGCACACCTAATGATATACAACTGAAATGTTACACATTTTAAGTAATTCTTACCTCAGATGGCCTGGATCAGAGCGCCATATGAGTAGTTCAATATACCCAAAATAATTTTGGAATTCTTTCTGTTTTGGTTGATATAAATGTGATAATGATCTTACAAAGTTTTTTTTAAAAAGTAGCCATGGGGATTTGGACAAGAGCCAAATCACTGGGGGAAAGATTTTTTTTAACTGTTCCCTGTAGGATTCCTGTATGCAGCTACCCCACCCCACCCTGAGCAAACAGCAGCTCAAGGGAGATGTACTGTTTTGGCAAATCTTTAGGAATTGTTTGGTGCATTTACGATGAGGCACCCACCCAGAGCCTCTGGCCTTTTCTCACTCTGCTGGCATCAAAACCAATTTAATGCCTAGAAAGAGGCTGCTGAGAGGGGAGGAGATAAAGTTGCCATCTTCAGGTATGGAAATTCCTGTAGATTTGAGGAGTGGAGCCTGGAGAGGGGGACCTCAGACAGGTTACAGTGCCATAGACTCCACCCTCCAACCCAGCTATTTGCTCCTGGGGAACTATTGTTGCCAATCTTGGCCCAGCAACCATCACACCATTCTCTTCAACCCCCTGCTGTGCAGCAGACTTTCCCCTAGGGTTGCCAATCTCCAGGTGGGACCTGGAGATCTCCCACTGCTACAATTGATCTCCAGATGACAGAGATCAGTTTCCCCTGGAGAAAATGGCTGCTTTGGAGGGTAGACCCTATGACATTATACCTGCTGAGTCCTTCCGCCCCCCCCCCAATGC